TAAAATAACTTCCTTTTATGAATAAAACATTTGTATTACTCACATGGTGTTGACACATCGACTATAGTAATGGCTGGATTATTAATATTTTCCTCTACAATTTTGATGTCAATTTTTGTAGTTTTGGTTTTAAAATAGYCTATAGTTTTTGATTTTTACAATTTTTTTCATCATCTAAAAACAGAACAGTAATAAGTAAATAAATTAAACCAAATATTGTATACTATTTGGCATTTAAATTTTAATTATACTTTCCAATTATTTAGTATTGATTAATAAATAATAAATAACTGATAATGAAATCTATGTTATTAATTACTATTAAAATGTATAATCTGTCTAGATCCATCTAACATTTAGTATATCTGTATATTTTACATATTATTATATAATATAGATTCCTTTTGTAAACTTACTTTCATGAATGGGTGACGAACTAGTTTCTGACTCTAGGTCTTGACGTTTTGGAGTAAATACATATTTTTTAAATTTATTAATAGTACTAATTATTCTATTATTAAATATAACACTATTAACACTTGAAACTACAATAGTAACAGTAAACTCATAGATACAACACAAATTGATGAATAATGACTCAACACTGAATAGTTTTCACTTCTAATCTCTACTTTTTGGTTTTAAATTAATATTATAAATTACAATACTTATAAAATTATAAATAATACATTTATTTATAATAATATCTAATGAACATTATTAATTATTTTTATCATAAGATAATTTAACATTATATTATCCTATGATAACACTAAACAATGTCACACATTGGCATGTATAATAATACACATTCCGTTTCCGTACTTCTTTATTATATATATATATAATTTTACATAAATCTGTGATTATAAATAAAATAATATGGATATGGAAATGGTATGTTTACACAGTATTACACACGCATATACATGCCGTATTTGTGGCAATATACAATATTTTAAGAATTGATAATTATCTATAGAATAGAAAGGATAAAGCGCGTTGTTATTTATAATTGATAACCTGATTTGCCAAACTAAATAAACCGATTTTCATACTATATTAAATTCTATTTAAAAAAATAAATTCTGATCACATTCAAAACATTTTCCAAGTTTGGGTACATGTCCTTCCCTTGCCCCCCCCCCATATTGGCGTCCTTGCCTGAGCCCTAAACTAATATTATTAAGTCGATATAACGATGATAACAATTAGGTAAATTACAGCCGGTAAGCTRTTTCTTCTAGTATGATAAGATTATCTCAAGTATTTCTGATGTATATGTTTGCTACATAGGTACTATTGTAACAATTATAATTGTATATATGTTATATGATACCTATGTATTAATATCAACTGCTGACCGATACAATAAAATATTAACACRCAATTATAAGGCCTATAACCAAAACATATAATTAATGTTTAAGTAAGTAAATTCATTGAAATTTACAACGAATATGCATTTACGGTCAAATAAGCAAAAATATAGAAAATAAAAATTTGACATCCCTATAAAACATTAAAATTTGCCATCCCTCTAAATTTAAAAAAAATTGCTGCTCAGGGYAACAGGGCCAACAACAGCCCCTACCTAAATAAACCCCTGGTTCTTACACAAATCTATTTATAACATAAGAACAATATATTACAAATATAAGATTTATTATTAGTTAATAAAATATAATAAGTAAAAATATCTTATCTTGATAGACCTCTAGTAAATTTTTAACAAAATATTCATTTATTTTGAAAAGGTATTAAACCAAGAAAAATTTTAGTGAAGTATTACATATCATAAGTTTGAATGTTATATTTTTAAGTTGTGTTGATAATGATTTTAAGTTTCATATTTTAATTATTTTTTCCTTAGTCTTAATTTTCAACCAATATCTTTAACATGAAATAATGATGTTAACAACTAAATATTCAAATATTATATTTAATGTATATAAAATAAGATTGGTGTAAATTCACTTCTTACAATATGTTTTAAAAACATGTAAATAATAATCATAATTCGCAAAAACATAAAATGACAAACTACGAAAAATTTGTGTATGAATAAATTATGATGTAACATAATTAGTTATTAAAATTTATAAAAAAAAATTTATTTTTTAATTATCTTGTATTGAAAACAATGTTAATTCAATTCCAACTTAAAAAATGCTAAATATATTATGAAATGTTGAATTTTAAAAATTCAAGTATAACTTCTTATACGTAATGTTGAATGGTATAATAAAAAAAAATAATAAACAGAATAATAGTAATAATAATAATTATAATAATAATATAATATAAAATTAATAAAAGAATGCCTAAATATGAAACAAGTTATAAAAAAAACTTGAGGGATCCATTTTGAAGTCATCAATTACTTATAGAACTTCTTTTTTTTACTGCTATATTGGCGAGTACCACCCGATGTTGTAGGCCAAGCACCAGTACGTTGTTCAACTTGGTGTCGGAGTTGTTGTTGTTCCTTTTCATTATGCTGTTTATTTTTCAATTCAGTAGCCAAAACTAATCTGATCTGTTCATGGTGCTCACTAATGGCATTCACTGCTGCATTTATCGTTTCACACCATTCACGTCGTTCTTCTGCTGTGTCAGCGGCCAGCAGCAGCACTTCATGAGTTTTGTCATCACCAAGATTTTCATCATTCATGCTATCATATGCAACGCCATCATTATACAAAATCAAACGCAGAGTGTTTGGTCGGGTGCATAGGTCTGGAAGAGCCGGAGCTGCAGGGATTGGCTTTTGTCTATGTTTCTGATGTTGACCCGAGACAGCAGTTGTAATTTTTTCTTCAGGTGGTGGTGTCGGCAAACAGCAGTTCAAGTCAATGCTACCTAATGGCTGTAAAAATATAAAAATTATTATTTATAACAACTGTAAGGAACATTCTWAAACTTGACAAATAAAAAAAAACAAGACCATTTAATAAACTTATTATTTAAATCGGAAAATTACTGTAAAAAATKTATCTAAAAGTTATGTATTTTTATATTACTAGCTGAACCCGTGCAATTTGAAGCCCGTTAAAAATCCTACCTCTTGTATGTTTCAAACTGTGTGTTAAATTCGTTTCTTGTGATCATGCTAGCAGTCAATTTTTATACATATAAATAGATAACGGTTAAAATAGACTAAGTAATTATTCTTGCAACTTCATTTTATTGAAAAAAATCTGACAATTCAAATATTCAATTTAAAGATAATTGGGTCTATCATTTTTTAACTTAGCCTATCACCTATCCTGGGTCTAATATATATCTGTATCAAATTTTGTCGCAATTGGTCTAGCTATTTAGGAATGTGCAAAAGACAAAAAGATCTATGTATCTATATATTTATTAGCTAACAATAAACTACACAAATGCAGGGATATATGTTATATAATAATAATAACCAACAATCACTAATAGCAAACATCTATAAATAAACAAAAATTCCCATCGTAAATCTCAAAATCTCAATAAGAGCACCTCTCTTCTGGGGTTGGACCTATCAATTTTTAACTTAGCCTATCTCCTGTTTATAGGTTTGATATATCTCTGTACCACATTTCATCGC